ATACAGCTGTAATTCTCACTGCAAACAGACATTTACACTTGCAGCTCTGCCAGCTTGGTCTTGTAGTCTGACCTGTCTGGGTAGATGTGAGGGGAGACAAATGACTTTAGTGGCTCTCTGCCAGCAATATCCAGGCACATAACTGCAGTTTGTGCTCAGTGCTTGCACAAAGAGATAGGATGTATCCTGTCTCAGCAGGGTGAATGGTCTGAGATCCCACCATACTCCTGCCAGGACAAGTAAACAGTAATCCTGCCAAGCCAAGCTAGAGAAGATGCTCAGAGGTAGCACCTTTGGTTATCATCAGAAGAGTTCTGCTGATTCCTGAAGAATGAGCTTGTAGGTATAAGGTGACTGATGCTGCAGGAAGGAGTTGTGATATTTAACCAGGTTAACACTCAGCATCCTGTCACAACCAAGCCTTTGCAGCTGAAGCTTAGGGAATAAAGTGGATGACTTCCACTTACTGCAGCCTTTCAGCAGTACCTCAGAACCCAAGTCACAGACAGAGACTCTACTAACGGTGCCATATACAGACTGCTCCTGACATAAACCTTTAGCCTAAAAGTCAGGTCACAAGTAGAAAGATCAAGGACAGTTGTCATAGGGGAGGAGTGAGAGAAGGAATGATGTTTTCTAGGACTGACTGCAGGACAAGATCAGACTAGTTTAGGTTACAGTAATGTAAAATTAAGCTAAAGGTTAAATATCGCACTCCTAGAAACAGGGTGAAAATGTAAGTTCACCTATTTACCAATTTCTAACAACAAAGCTTTATGTTGCCTATTAGGTAATAAAAGAGGGTTTTAGTGCCACAAGATACTGCCCTGGGGCAGAGCCCAGTTCAACGTTCATCCTGAGGTTAGAGGCGCAGGGAGGCTCTTGCACCTAAACAGCCAGTTTAGGGCTTAATCCTCCTCAGAATTCAGGTGTTATTCACGTTTCTTAACATCTTCTGGTTTAAGAATTTCAACAGGAAGACTTTTGGTATTTTGTTGTGTACTTTGCAATATTTTTATGGCAGAATCAGTCATCTGACTGTTTCAGGGACGTTCTTTTAACTCTGTTAATATAACCCTGTTTAATTTTGTTCTCAGAATCCTAATGTTGTAGACTTGGTTCCCAGAGCTCCTTTGGGCCTGATGTCAATCGTACTGATGTAAAATTCGGTATCAAAGGGATAATACAAATGTGGTGACAATGACAAATTCTACTAATAAGGAACAGTGATTCCAAAAGGCAGAGAAAGTATATCTGTTAAAGATTAGACTGACACCCCCCTAAATGAATGACAATGTAAATGGAACAATCTGTCCAGCTCAAAACCATCCTCTTAAGGGCAAATCACCTTAAGGAGGAGTTTCAGTAGAACAGTGCTGGGAATCTGCTCTGACATTCTAAAATCTCAATGACTTATAGATAGCCCTAGCTTAAAACCCAGCGACTTCATACTCCAAAAGGCTAATTCACACCGAGGAACAAATGATATTGTTAGTTAAGTTCTTGGATGTGCCAGCCTGCACCTTTTCACCAGTTACTAAACCAACAAGGGCTGATACTTCTCCAGACTGTAAGTTTGTTTTGCCTTGGTAAATATAGACATTGAGTTGCATATTGGAAAACACTATGGCTCTGGGATAGAGCTGGGATTGTGACTTTGTGCTGCTGCACGTGTGCCACATGGATTTGGTAGCACAGGTGTGCATTAGGGGCAGAGGAAAGGGCTGTGTCCCTCCCAAAGGCACCATGTCCAGTACACAGCTCCTGAGATGGGCTTCCAGGCAGATGAGCCTTTCAGCATAGGGCAGTACAAGGTGAGACAAGAGAACATTCATCACTGCACTGTATTCACAGCAAAACAAACCCCCTGACTTCAGAAAGGTGGAAATGCCCATAAACATCAAAACCAGCTTTAAAATGGACAAATCTACAGCTGGCCTAAGCATGAGAACTGTGTGATTTCACTGCAGGAGCACAGGAATGAAATCTGGAGGAGGAACTATACCTTTGCCTACACTTACTCCACTATAAGCCAGTCTTGTTACAGAAAAGAAGTGCTGCATCTGCCCTCTTGTGCCTGCTCTGGATTTGGGTTTTTTCCCATCTTAGATTAGGTTCAGCTTCCCAGGCTAATGCTATGTACAAATGCTTGTGCTGACATGGGTGAAAATGAGCAGCCCAAGGGGTGGGTGAAACTCCTTCTCTCATTCACGTTGGCTTGGGAAACCATGGCCTCAAGTGCAGGTAATCCTGGCACTCCGTCATTCCCTAAAGCTGCTTCTTCCCGGCTTCCTCTTCAAACCAGGAGGCTTCAGTTTGATGATCAGAAAACACAAACACGAGTAGATCTATCAGAGTACGCAGCACAAACAAAGCCTAGGCTGGGAAAAGAGGTGAGCTAAGCACAAGGACAACTAACTAGGGTGGATTAAGACCCAAACAAACCCAAGGTGCCAGGGCAGGCTACGGACACTCCATGTTTTGAGAGCTTCAGGTGAAGACTGGATCCTCTCCCGGCACACAGCCCAGTGCCCTGGCTCCACGTGGGTTGTGGCTGTAGGGCCTGGCACGGGGAGCTCAGAAAGGCCAGAAACGTATCTGCAGGCTACCGCTGGCTCTAGTAAGGCTTTCTACAGAGCATCTGAGCCAACGCAGCTGTAGAAAAGCAGCAATTGCGAGCTCACCACGAATGTTAGCCCTTATAGCCCCGAAGTTGAACCTCTATGTGGAAATACAGGATGTTACTTGTACTGGAGCAGGAACAGACCTACTGTAGGGTAAAGGGAAGAAAACAGAGTGTTTCCAGGCACCTCTCAGGGGCTGCGCGGCACCAACCCAGCTCCCTCCCGGTCTTTGAGGAAGTGCCGGGTGCCGCGGCTGGAGCGACAGGGAAGGCTCCCCGCAGGGCACTTACTTTCGGATTCTGACGATTATTACTATTATTATTCGAAACCAACTAAAACCTCAACAACTAAACCTAAAATCAACGTGGCTGCATCCCCCCTCCGGCCCCGCCAAGGGCCCTCACCCGCTCCTGCTCCCGGCCCGCGCTCTCCGCCGGCAGCGAACCGCCCTTCCCGGCTCCCGCAGTCGCTCACTTGCGGTCTCCGATGGCAGCGCCGTCCCGCTCCTCCCGGCCCAGCTCCCGCACCCTTCGCTTACACCTGGCGTCTGCGGGACGGCGAGGAGAGGAGGAGCAGAGCCCAGCCCGGCCCGGCCCCGCCGCCGGCACCCTCGGGGTAGGCGGCACTTCCCTTCCCTTCCCTCCGCCCCGCTCCGCTCGGCGGGCACCGCTGTGCCGGCAGGTAGGGAAAAGCTGATCCCTCCTTCCCTGCCCTCCACCCTGCCAATAGAACACCGCAACCCCGAGGCCATGGAGCCTCGTGGTTGTGTATGCACCTCACTGGGTATACTTGTTGCTTCATGGAGCCGCCTTGGGTGTGCAGGGGGTTGTTGCTTCTAGGTGGCCGTTGAGAGATTGGAGACTACAGAAACTAAGCTTAGTGCTGCGGGTGCGATGCCAAAGAGCAGGAAGGTGTGTTTGAGATGTAGGGATGTGTTGTGATGTACGGAATAAAAGTGGTGTGAGCTGGCTGGAGATAGGCAAGTGCTTCTCCGTGGTGGATTCGCACAGAAAGCCTTTCTTGCCTTAAACCTTTGACTTGCTTGGTGGTGTAGTGGCTACATGAAACACAGTGAGGAAATAAACCCAAACTAAGCTAATAACTGGAAAGAGAAATAAAGAATATAAAGGAAAAGTTCTTTCAGATTAAACTCATCCTGACTACAGAGCCCCCAGAGGCCATAAAGGTGTAAATGATGCATCTTTGACACTCCATGGGCAACAGTAACTTTGGTTAGAACAAAGCAGATGAGAAGTTGTCAAAGCACAGGTAAAATCACAGGATATTTGCTCCCCTTATTGCTGTCCTAGACTCGGCCATTGAGGCCCTGGCACAGGGAGCCCAGAGAAGCTGTGGCTGCCCCATCCCTGGCAGTGTTCAAGGCTAGGTTGGACACAGGGGCTTGGAGCAACCTGCTCTAGTGGCAGGGGTTGGAACTGAATGAGCTTTAAGGTCCATTCTAACACAAACCAACCTGGGATTCTGTGATTCAGATTGCCTGTGCATGCATCAAAATTGTGTAGGTATCAGACATGCTTTGAGGCAGGTACTAGGCAGTTCATGCCTATTTAGGGCTCTCAGTCACCTGAGGGCACAGACACACCTTCAATTGCCTCAGCCAGGCTCACCTGGGACCAATTCTCCAGTTAAACTCATGGTAGGTGTTCAGTCCTTGCATAAATGATGTTATGGGAGCAGTGGAGGGGTTACCCTCCAGTCCTGGCCTGGCCTGGCCCTTCATATGGAGCAGTTCTGCTTTTACTGCTCCTTGGCAGTGTCTTGACTCAACGGTTTTTGGATTTTCATAGCACAGTTTGGTAAGCTACCTGGTTTTTATTATTTTTTATAATACAAGTATGTATGTAGATGAGCAACTCACATTTAGCAGAAAAGCCCATGCAGTAACATCAAATTCAGGTCTGAGTTGCTTTCAATAGTTAGAAAAGCTTAAATAGTTCTCACTGAGACAAAATATCCTGGTGTGTGCTCTTTCTTTCTATGTGACCTTGTTTTGCATTACCTGTGTGGGTGGGACACAGAACTGAGAAGCTTTTCCTGGTGCTCCATCCTGCCTAATCAGAGACATGATGCAGAGGTCCAGGGGTAAGCTTGTAAACAGCTGAGTCTGCTGCTGCTCAGCGCAGAAGCAAATCCTTGTGGTTTCTTATTTAAACAAATAAAGCACCCATGCTGTGGGCAGAACTGCAGGGCCTTGATTAAATCAGGCAAAAAAGATGCTTGAGAGATAGCAAATATAAGTAAAGGTGGTTCCCAGGCCAGACGTATTAGCAAACACTGACTCTAATCTTCAGGTTGGTCCAAGTCTTGACCTCTTCCAAGCGTGAGCGCTGTTTTGTTGTTGTTTTTTTTCTCCAGTTGCCTGTGAATAATTACCTTGAGGGAAGAGACTGTGGAGGTTGATATCAGCCTTGTTCTGCTGTGCCAGGAGGGCTATGGCGTGTGTTCCTTCTGCACTGCTCTGGAGAAAATGCCCTGCAATCCATGTGCCAGATCCTTTTGAGAGGGAGATGCACTCGCCATGTGTTGGAGGAGCTGGATGAAGAGGAAAAGACCTGGAAAAAAGCCAGAAGACAAAGAAGTTTGGGTAAGTTCTCTTTGAATCTAGCATACGCTGTTACAAGGTTTAGGTGCTGGGAAGTGGCTGGATTTTCAGTCAGCATTGACCATCCATACCCACAGCATTAAAGGCAGTGATGTTTTACTTCTGAGGAGGTGCAAAGTTAAGGTCTGTTTTGGAGACAGCATGCTCATAGGAGGCAGAGGAAGTAGGATTTGAACACCTGTAATTCTCCTACCATTTGAGATGGTGGGTGGGGAAACTGAAATTGAGCAGCAACTTTTCTCTGCCAGAAGTCCTCTGGAAAAAGACAGGAAACCTCTATTTGCACCTTCTCAATCAGTTTCTAAGCTAAACCGCTCCGCTAGTCAAGAATGAGGCTAATGGGATATAGATAACCCATGACTTCATTCTTGGAGTTAGTGAAGACTGCACATGATCTGTTAGGAGTTTGATTCCTTTTCCTATGGGGTCTCCTAACTGCCTATAGCTAGGAGGCTCTTAGTAGCTAAATGTGTATTTTGAGAGCATGAGAATGTAACATCGCAAAGAATAGTAATCATCTTTTAGTAAAAGACTTAATACTTCTTCCAATACGCTTTCTATAGCTCCTGCCTTCTTGTACTATGCTGCTGTTTTAAGTTATCACCAGTGGGCATATGAGGCTTTATTTTTTCTTGTGTTTATGTTACTATTAACAAACACAAGGTCTGGAGAAAGTGTCTTGTTTTCTTGATGGGCCTCTGTATATCTGTTATGATCACTTTAACTATGGGGAAAAGAATTTGCTCAGTATTAAACTTCAGATACTGTTGGGGTCACTTCAGCTCACGGATGCATCTGTTTCCCAAAAATCCATTCCTATCCAGCCTGCTTTACATAGGTTCTCTTCACATCCTCTATGTAGCAGACATAATATTTCTTCCTTCTCCATAGGCAGACTTTCCCACTTGGGGTGTGTCAGGCTGTGTCAAAAGCGGATCCAGAACAGAAACGGGGGGGGGGATGGTATCAACTTGTGGCAAGGGCTGTATTTCCCCCAAGTTTCTTTAGGCACTTCCTCACTTCAGCTTTTCCAAGTGACTGCTCATGAGAGTGCCCTGAGTTTGGAGGGCAGTGGGTGAGCTCAGTGTAGGCTTTGAGGTAAAAGTTACATAGAGATGTGTGCAAAATACTTACTTGCAGGGACATCTGTATCTGGCACTTCTGGATTTATTGAAGCTGTGAAGCTAAGAAGCTATTGTTGCTGTCCTGAGTACCCTGGCTTAGATTCCAGGTGAAGGGTGTGATAAAACTAAAGAGAGAATATCAGTGTTGTATCCCCCATGTCTTATAGCTGGTCACCAGAGACTAGTTCTTCATATAATGGCATCAAGTGTTAAGAGCCATGCCATCTCTCCCTGTGGAGAGCTTGCACTGTTTTGTAATGAGGTTTCTGGAGTCTGTCTTTGAGACGTACCAGGCAGGCAGATGTGCTTTGTTGTGCTACAGAAGAATGCTTTTCACTGGCTGTAGTTGAAGTAGTAATGCATGGATCTCTTGTATCCCTCCATTACTAATAACCCCCCCAGTCAGTTCAAGCCCTGGAATGAGTATCAGGCAGTACTGGCAAAGCTGTTGAGAAAAGCTGATCTTCACCACAGTGGATCTGTAGGTCTCCATGTTTAAAAGCTACTCTGTAATAAAGGGCCATGATGAGAAGGATGGTAATACTTTAGTTTTGGTGTCTCTTGGCTATGCTGCCAGTTGATGAAGCCAGTGTCATAAGTATCTGAAACTTTGGCAGAAGACAGGACAAAGGGGGATGGCTTTAACCTGCCAGAGGAAGATTTGTATTGGACATTAACAAAAAATGCTTTACTATGAGGGTGGTGAGGCACTGGCACAGATTGCCCAGAGAAGCTGTGGCTGCCCCATCCCTGGCAGTGTTCAAGGCCAGGTTGGACACAGGGGCTTGGAGCAACCTGCTCTAGTGGAAAGTGTCACTGTCTGTGGCAGGGGGTTGGAACTGGATGAGCTTTAACGGTCCCTTCCAGCCCAAACCATTCTGTGAAATAAGACAATAAAAAATACCTTGTGTATGTAGAACAGAAAAACTGAAAATGTCGCCCTTTGCAAGATAACTGGCCTGCAGTACAGGGAGAGATTATACAGAGCTAAGCAATGGTATTTGCATTAAGAGGAAAAATAAATCCCCTTATTTTATTCTTGCTTTAGGAGAGTTCAAACTTCTGTTGCAGGTCTGAACTGGGGTCGGCGGTTGATGTGACTGGGTGCAGAGCAGACAGCCATGATCCATTCTGAGTCAAGCTTGCAAAGAGTCTTGTCTACCCTCTGGGCAAGGTGCTTCTGAAGGATTTTGAAAGTTGACCTTCTGTCACTGCCTGTTTCATGCTCATGATGAAACAGCGGCGTGTCTAGTGCAAAGTCTGAGTCATTTAACACTTATCAGAAACCCCTTTGATACGAGGAACAGAGAAGGGTGAGTGGGAGGGATCTTGTTACACAGAGGAAACCAAGGGCAGTGATGCCTGAAAATGACCACAACAATGTGTATGTGACCCAGACAGCTGATTGAGTGACTCAGACCTCTGTCACACTGTTTTCAGCTGAAGCAATGATGCTCTGCAAAGCTTTAGTTGCAAGTAGCGCTCCTTTTCCATGACCAAGGATGAACTTATCCTATCATTCAGCTTTTTACCTTCCTTCAGTCTCTTGATTAGCCATACAGAGCAAAACACAGTGGTTTGGACTCTTCAGGCTATAAAAAAAACAAACCCAACTGATGGCTTGGTTGTCAAATGTGATTCTTAGTGTTACCTTCTCTGTGCTCCTGTCAAGTCAAGGCTACAGGGAGATGGTCCCAAGTGAAAGAATACTGGGCAACTATGAAAAGTGTATCTGCATGGTAAATTGAAAGAAGCACCTTTTCCTTCTCCACCCTTAGAATCTGAACACCTGCTCTGGAGTTGTAAAATTTGAGTTAGAGGTTAGTATGCCTGACTGTGTACATTAAAAGTTCCAGGCTACAAGATACAGTGTAGTGTTGGCCAATGGGTTTAGCCTGCACTCCTGTTGTGTTTCTTGTAGATCCCAAGTCAAACTTTAACACATTCATGTTAACTTTGTTGTGGGTGTGAGAAAGCAAGTAGCAGTTCTCATTCTGCAAGCAGGAAATAGGACTGGTGTGGCTACAGGGCTGTGCAAAGTTATACACCTTTCAGAGGGTGGAACTAAGGCTGAAATCCTGATGCCAAGGCTGGAGCTTTAGCTGGAAGGCCATGCATATTCTACTGCTTGTACATAAAGCTAATACTTTAACACCTTTGTAGCAGCCTTTTGGTAATAGGATGAGTTATTAGCAATAAAATGTGGCCATGTCCTGTAGGACTGTGTGTGGGTTTGGTTGGTGTGTGCTGATCTGCAGTCTGCTGCTTGCCAAATAACTGTGCCTCTGTTGTCCACCCCACAAGTTTTGATAACAGTGTTCCCTTTTGTTCCAAAACCACAGTTCTGAGATGCTGGGGTGAGTAAAGCTATACAGTATTACCACTGTGTCTGTTATAGATCTTTTAGTCTGTTAATATTATGTGCACTGTATCATGTCTGATGAGGATGTCTCGCAGTTGTACTCCTAGCTGTTGGAACAGGTGAAGTAAAGGTCCCAAAGGCAAGCAGGATTTGATAGTATTCCTTCTAAAACTGGAATGCAGAAGACTGGCTTCAAAATACTTGTTTGATTACATGCTCTTATTAGAACTGTTTTCCTTAGGATACTATTTCTCAGCTGGAGTGACATTCTGAGATATTATCTGAAGCTGGATTGGGGCTGTTTGATGGAAGCTTTTAAGATAAATAGACTCACCTTTGTTTGACCTTTTCAGTTTGAAACTGTTCAGATTAATACCACCCAGAGTCATTCTTCATCCTTTTTAAGACACTTTAAATATTACAGCTGTACTTACAAGGTCTAAGTGAAACTGAACGTCGTACGTCTGTGCGGATTGACTAAAGACAGTCTTGCCCTAAGGAGCCTGGAGCTGCAAGAGGAGAACCTTGTAGGGTAAAAGAATAACTGGAGGTTGCAGAGGGGTTCAGTTGTAAATGGGATGTTTCAGAGGCACAGGGATTTCAGGCAGGGCTGTAGAGGTGTCTTCTGTGGGCAGGATTAGCCCCATGTGCCTCCATTAGAAGATCTGAAGAGGAATTCCCTGATCCATGCAACGTGGTATGGAGCAGGAGGCTGCATCTCACTATGAAGCAATTCATTAACAGACTTGTATTTTAAGTGATGCTTCTGTGGAGGTGGGTTGTGCAACTCTCCTGAATGAGTAAGTTCTGATGAAAGCAATATGCATGGTGCGTTGCTAAACTTGGTTTTCCCACCCAAACATACAACTTTTTATGCTACACCCAGCCTTTTAAAAATAGAAGCTTTAAATAAGACTTTCCTGTCTCTATTCTGGCATCTAAATTGGTGTCAGCATTTTCCAAAGGGCTGGGCAGTGTCTGGAGTTCCCCACAAGGGCTGTGACCAGTGAAAGATGTAGCAGAGGTACCACTCTGAAAGATCATGTGCAGATTCATGTGCCTGAGGGTAGGTTTTCTCCTTGATATTCCTTTCTCCTTCCTCCCCGGTCTCTTGGTGGATTAACAGCTCTTAGGATTTTACCATTGCCCTCATGTTAATTCATGTTTCTCAAAGCTTCACCTCTGCGAGGAAGGCTAGACTCTGAGAACAGTGTGTTCCAAATGGAATAGGGAATATTGTATTGCTTATTTAAATACTAATTTAAGAAGAAAAGCCTCACCAAGGCACATCTCTTTAAAAACTGGAGAAGTTTTCAAGCCTTGAAGTACTGCTCTAAGTATCTCTTTACAAAGGAGGGATCTCTGAAGATGACTAAACCAGTAGTTGTTATAATAGAGGTGTCACTAGCATCTCTTTATTTTTCTGGCCCTGACCCAATGTTGTGCTTCTTGCCTGTGCTTGTGCTTGTGGTTGGACCAGTTGTTATTTTCTTCCCTGTGACAGAAGAAAACTCTCTTTTCTTTGTAAGATCAAGTGTTGGATACTTGGCTTTCCACAGACTGAGAGCTGCAGTACAATGCTCAGTTTTGCTTCACAGTTAGCACTGGTAAGAGAAACTCCCTAGTGACAAACTCTTTTAACACACATGTCCATAAATCTCCTTTAATCGCTCACACCAGTCTGAGTTCAGCTTTTTTTCTCTCTACCTGTAACTGAATCACATCCTGTCTCATTCACGTGAATCTTTGAGGACCTGAAGGAATAAAAACATTGCAAGATGTGCTAAACACAAGCATCTAGGGAGGGCCAAATGTGGCTCAGTGGCTGGCAATGGCCTTGTAGGCTTTCTCAGCAGCCCAGCTGAGCCAGGCATAAAATGGCACTGATTTTTGCTGTGCTACTGGTAGGGTACAGGCTAACCGTGGATTGGTTGGAGTGCTACATTCACATCCTGAGGTATTTCCTTATGTCTTCATTGATGACAAGAAGCTGTAATGTCCACTACTGTAACCTCTTCAAAGCAGCTTAACAGCAACAAGAATAAATGACAGCCGTAAGATATAGCAGCAGCAGAAGAAATACTAGGAGTGCAAGAAGCCTGGAAAAGCTCTTCTGTCATTAATGACCTTAAAGGTCTTTTCCAACCTAGTTGGTTCTGTGATTCTATGGGAGAAACTTGGAGCTGACGTAGCTACCGCCTGTCTCGCCGGGCTGCGACCAGTAGATGCCACTGCAGCCTTACTAACCGGGACCACCGCTACATGGACACAAGTGAATGCACCCGGAGCATCGGAAGGGGACATCTGGTGGCCTCAAGCGTGTTAGCTGATGGTAGCGTGCGCCACGGCACCTGATGCTAGGGGTGTGCAGGATACAAACGAGTGAAACCACCTTATGTACACATCTGCATGACTAATTCTTGGGGCAGACAACACGCTTCTGATTTAGGGCTCTGAGGAAAGCTTGCCTTTCCTGCCCGAATTTCCTCCTTGCCCTTGGTTGCTATACAGAAGTGAGATCCACGATGGTATTTCTGCCCCCATCAAGGAGTGGGGTTTATATTTCTTTCCAGGTTATTATTGGTTTGAGCCCAGCAAGCACTGAAGGTTTTTGCCATGGTAGGTGTGCTTGGCATCACATTCAGGATTTAATAAACACCAGGTATTGCATTTCATTAACTAGTGTGAGCAACCTGTATTGGGCCTTTTTAAAGTCAAAGTGTGGAACCTGTTGCTCATGTAAAACATATCCCTATAAGAGGCCTGAAATTGCTGGGAGACAACTCTTCAGAGAGGGTGTCTGGGATTAGGACCAGTGCAGCTGCACTGTACAGATGGCAGAAGAGCTTGAGGATGTGGTGGTTTCAGGTTTATGTCATTCATTCTTTAGTGTGGCATTTATTAAGGGTGAAGGAGGAGTTTGTTGTACTCATCTCTGGTTGGGGTGTTACAAGCCAGCAGATGCTATTCCAGCTAATTCCCTTCAGATGGAAAATGCCGCCTTCTTGTCTTCTTATCTCTACCAGGCAAGTGTGTGCAGGGGTTTTGTGGCTGCTTGTTCAGGAGCAATGCTCTGAGCACCTGTAATGTGTTTGGGTAGACCTCAAGGAGCACACCATCAGTGGATTCCCTTTTCTTTGCTGACTTCCTCTTAACAGGAGCCCTTATTCCTAAGGGTAAGATTATGTATTCTGGATTAGTTTTGCAAAGCACTGAAGTTTTAAGCTTGACTTATGGGTATAAATGGTCCTGTTGAACATGTTCCTTTGTGCTTTGGCCTGGTACAGACTCTTTACTGGGCCTTCATGGATCAAACAATGAGTGACCTTTGCTGTCACTGGAAAGGTGGGCTGTTATTTTTGCTAAAGAATACCACAGTTTGGACAGTGCAGAACCCTCATGATTTGACATAGATGCATGCTCATCCTAGCAAATACACTCCCTTTACCATTAAGTAAGCTCCCTCTGTCAAGCCTTGGAGATCTCCAGCTGTGAGCTGTACCTTCCCCTGAATTAAATCCCACCTCTATATTTTGACTGTAGCAAAGTAGCTCTGCCCAGATTCATTGTTTTGTCGCTTTGCTTTTGATTTGTCATTTGGAGCCCTTGTGTTGCATGCAGGTCCCCCCGTGCAGCTGAAAGGCAGCTACACCTTGATGAAGTGGAAGGTGAGATTGACGAGTCATTGCATGAAAAGAAGAAACTAACCTGAAAACCACAAAACATCAGAAGAACTGGATCAGGAGCTGTCTTTCAAGGGTTTCATTAAACCGAGTTGGAGTTAGAGCCTTCTAAAAGAAAGCACATGAATGCATTTAACAAAGGAAGAGTTTAAGAAAAGCGCTTGAAGTGGAGCTGGTTTCTAATAGATGGATCTTGAAAATCCTTTGTGTCGGTGTGTGGGTTTTTCTAAACTGATTACACTCCTGTGGTTGTGTCTGTAATTTAATTATCTTTGCACTCAATCAGAACAAGTTAATTAAAAGTCTCTTCTTTTGTTAGCTGAAACCTATTAGTTTTTCCTACACGGAACTCCATGGCTTTTGTTTGCTCCTCTTGTCCTGGGCTGTTTTTGTTCAGCGCAGCTGTGCTTTCTATTGCATAACAACTTAATATAGCTGGCTTTATAGCTCTTCCTTTTTATAGGCTGGGCAAAATTACCTCCAGGGAATTGCAAATGTAGGTCAGTAGTGTAAAAACACAAGTCCCACTCCTATATTAAAGTTTGCTCCTAAGTGGCCAATCCGTTTTGCTTCCAGTCCCTCCAGCAGGTTGTATTGCAGGCGCTTTGATGTCAGAAGGCTAAATGTGTGTGCAGGGAAATTGCTGGGCTTTCAAGCATGGTCCTGGGAGCCTGGGTTTGGAAATCATACTTTGTTTATAACCAGAAAGCTTTTTAGTTTAGCAAGCTCTTGGGAGATGAGCTTAACCTTGGGCTACGGTAATGTCAGGACTGAACAGGGCCGGGCAGAGTTCGTGTTTAGATTGGCGACAGCCTATCCTTCGGAGCTGCATGACTCAGTAGCTGACACACTTCCTTCTGGGTATGAATGCCACAGCACGTTGGTAGGAGGTGCTGCCTTGCTCCATGAGTCACTCAATCCAAAGCACCGAATTTTTCCTGGGCATTAAAGATCACTTGGCTCCCTTAGCAAGAGCACGGCTTTGCCTGGCTGTTCTGACTAACTCGTCAGCTCCCTCCCCATGCAGTCCCCTCCTCGGCAGTCCAGTTCAAGGGTCAGTGTTCTTTTCATTTCTGCTGAAGTGCTGCAGATCCAGGATGTTGGTACAACATTGCTGGTCCTTTTTACTACTGGGGCAATCCATGTGTTTTTACAGCTGTGCAGCTAGAAGGCTGAATGATCAGGTAATACAAACTGGGTAATTTCTTTTGATCGTCAGCATACACGGCCAGGGATCTTGTGCCTTCTGTGAGTTTCTTTTCCCTTCCTAAGAAAAGTACTTGGAGTGAAATCCACCAACATTAAGGAGCAAGGGGCTTCCCCTTCCCCACAGGAGAGCATGGAGGGGCTTTGAGCTTTGCGGGTTCCCAAGGTCCTGCACAATCTTGTGACAGTGGTATAACATATATGTATGGATACATATATATATACACACCTATATATAGAGGTATATCTATAACATATAACGTAACATATTATATATGTTATGTTCTGTATATAACATGTTATACATGAACGTGTTATACAGAACATGTTATGTTCTGTATGTATAACGTATAACAACATTATATATGTTATGTTCTGTATATCTATAGCATAACATATATCTATAACATATCTATATATAGATATAACGTATCTATAACATATTTATGTCTCCTTCTGTATCTGTTTGACAGAGTGAACTCCTCTCTGTGTCCCAGTGAATGGCAGGGTGTATATCCTGCCATAAGAGAGTCAAACATTGGTGTTACAACTAGCAGGCTCACCACGTGCCAAGGCTACTGTGACTCGAGAATGTTTAAGCACCTTTGTGCTAGAATGCTGTTGCTGTGCAACTGCTTTAAACTTGACTAGAGATGCTCGTAGTCAGTTTACACTATGGGGCAGGTAGCTCTCCTTTTTGATCCATACTGACCAACAGGACTTTCCTGCTTCTATAAACTGCAGGCTCTGAACTGATGAGGATGGAAGAGGGGGAAAAACAGACATGAAAACCAGGAAGTCATTCTCCCAGGGCTCTGGACAGCTCTCTGGGTCTTCGACTACTATAACTTGCTATCCATGTGGATTCTTGGAGACTTTTAGAGAGGTCTTTTCCAGCAAGTTTCATATGTTAATCATAAAGCTTTTTAACAGCTCATTGTGTATTACACTGTGCTGGCTCTGACTTGTGTTCGATCTGGAAGTCTTTTGGGGTACCCAAGTATGAAAGAAATATCTGTCTTTTAGGGAGGAGTAGAGGCTGCATTTCTAGATGAATATTCCCTATTCAGATGGGATATTTACGAATTACCTTTACAAATGCCTGATTCTCATAACATGTTTTTTAAGTGTCTTTCCCAAAAGCCCTAGTTCAGTGCCTATTGGAATCTTAGTTTATTGAGCTGATGGCCCATTTTTGTCTGGTGTCAGGGAAGGGTCTTGGTCAAGTCTCCAGCCCAGAGATAAACAGGAACTTTCCTTTTAAATCTATTGTTCCAACTTCAATTTCAACCCCCAAACTTGGTTGCAAAGGAAGTGCCTTCCTGGAAAAAGTAAACTGTGGAGCTTTAGCTGTCGTAATCCTTCCCTGGAATTTCTCTGGGAATGAAGGTGATTGTTATTGCAGCGTTTGAAATCTTTGAGCATATTGTAATCATTCTTAACAGGTTTTGAAAGGTTACTCAGTAGCCATGTGTTACTCAGTGTATATGTGTTTAATCAGTGTTCTTAAGGGCTCAGTTCCATTTCTAGGATGAGAGGTTAGGAGTTAGTAAGTCTTTTGACAGCAACAGGAGTCTTGTCTTAACCCACTTACCTGGAAAGCTCGAGGGTCTCTGATGCGGGATTGCTTTTAAGTGGATCCTTGCAATAAGATTTGCAGCTCACTGCTGCCATGCTGTGCTGCTCTGACCTCCCTTTAAGGACCTCATCCGAACCCAGTTGTGAATTACACAGAAAGTCTCCCATTGATGTTGTGCTTCAGAACAGATCCTACAAGGAACTGCAGAGGAAGCGATAACATAGTGGTGGGTCATGTGTCTTGTGTCTGCAGTGCTGGGGAGCTGATGTCATGTTTATTAGAAGCCAAGATCAGAGTTCACAGGCTCAGGAAATGTCTGCAGAGTTTAGGAATGGTTTGTAACTTCGATCCCAATGACAGGTTTATTTGGCACTTTTTGATAAGTGGCCTGTTTGAAATTTCCTCTCCAAGTAAGCAATTTGTAATTCCCACTTGAAAGGGCTACTGGGGGGGGGATGGTGATGGGGCCATATTTGAAAACCATTTATGGTTACTAACATCCTGGCATCTGTCATCCAGGAGTCCTGGGCCTTTATTGTTTTGATCTGCCCAAAATGACTTCTTTATATAGAAACTGGGAAAGCTCTCGGTGTCCTGAGTGCAGATAAAAGTATTTATGGTCTCTTAAAACATATAAATAGGGTTGGTGACTAAGCTAAAGGATCCTTAGGAGTCATTCTGCTTCTTTTGTGATGGGATTTGTTCAGTTATTTTGATCACCTTGTCTCATGCAACCTTACAGTGCAGCTTTCTCTGTGCCTTGCCAAAGTACTGTCATTGTGACACTTCAAACCATTGCACTGATTCACAATCCTCTTATCCTGAGCCCAGCTTCTTTCTTAAGCCACAGGGTAGTCATTGCAGGTGTTGGAGGTTTCTTCCATTGACGACTTCCATTGGCTGCTGAAGAAAGTTGGAGAAACCCTTGCTGTAGTGGTGCTGTAGCTGTGGTACTCTGAGGATATCAAGGAACCAAAGCTCACTGGGAGAGGTAATGGCTTTTCTTAGACCAGCTTGTGTAGCTGCAAAGAGCAACCAAGCTCAAAACCTCAGGGGATGTGATAAAAGTGAATCTGAGCCCAGAAGTTTGTTTGGTCTTCCTATAAATATGTTGGATAACTCTTGTTTACCTTCCTGAATTGCAACAGACTTGTCAAGCTCTGTCAGTGTCGTCGCGTGCTTTTAGGGTTATAGTTAGATCCTAGAACTAACTAGAACTACAGCAATGCTAAATCCTGATGATAATTGGGATTCATGAGCGTTTATTCATATGTGATTGTGCAGCTGCCTCTCTGAGGCATAGAAGGAGTTTGAGGAACACTGGGCAGCTCCTGCTAGGAATGAACATGGAGAATTTCCCTTTGGCTGCTTTTTGCTTCCTGTTTCCAGCAATCTGATGCAGTAAACCTACACTTGGGTTTCAGGTACACTGGTTTTTACATGAGAATTGGAGCAGGCATTTAGGGAAGCATTACCAGAATGCAGACTCTTCAGAACCGGCACACAGGGACATGGAGGAGCCCAACAAAGCAGCTGTCAACTCCACTGTGTTTAAAGAGGATTAACAGGAGTTAGGTTGTTGCTGGAGTGCGTGGGAGCACCCAGGTCAGGTAGGGGTCTGTAAGTCTCTTCTAGAACCTGAATACTCTTTGTATTTGTGTCTAACACAAATAAATCCCAGATTCCTGTGTCACTTGTGTGCTCTTGAAAGCACCTCAGCTCCTTTTTGTGGTAATGTCTACTGGGACAAATGATGTCTTCACTGTTGTGATGCTTTCAAAATCTGGATAGACGGAAGAGACCTGATTTGCCTGAAGATAAGCAGGGAGGATAAGCAGTAAGGCTGAGGGGAGAATCTGGATTCCATTTCCATATTGCTGCTCCATTCACTGGGGCTTGAAGTCACATAGGTTTATCTTGAATACTCACATTTATTTGCTATCATCAGAGCTTTATGTATTGAATATACCCTGGCCTCTGCCCTCATCTGAGGTGAACCAGACAGGATAATTTCAACATTATTTGGATAATCCTAATGTTGATTTTCATAGAATGAATCCCAGACTGGTTTGGGTTGGAAGCAACCTTAAGGCTCATCCAGTTCCAACCCCCTGCCACAGGCAGGGACACCTTCCATTAGAGCAGGTTGCTCCAAGCCCCTGTGTCCAACCTGGCCTTGAACTCTGCCAGGGATGGGGCAGCCACAGCTTCTCTGGGCACCCTGTGCCAGTGCCTCAGCACCCTCACAGGGAAGAATTTCATCCTTATATCTAATCTAAATCTTCCTTCCTTCCTTCCTGTTCAGACCTTTAATGATGTATTCATGATGATGTCCCCAGAATCACAGGGCAGAACTCGTAATGCAGTTAAGTGTTACAAGTTGAGCCTAGTTCCTGCCAGCAGAGGACATTGTTGTTCAATAAATTCTTGGCACTTGCTGTGGAT